TAGTACAAACGGGCTGGGTAGATACATACCGCAACTCCAAAGGGTGACCATCAAATTTTGCAAAGCACGTCCTGATACCGTTGGCGTCAGGTATCTTGCTGTTCGTGATAATTAAGGCAATTTCAGGGATTACATTGAAAAACACTTGGTGGACTTCGCACGGCGAAATCCTGCTACAGTGGTTTACGTGAAGCCAAGACGTCGAAGACCACCGCTGATTGTCGCAGAGTATCGTAAGTGTCTGCCATTTGAACAGTTTAACGTGAATTTGTTTGTATTTTAGTTTGTGGTAACTGGCAATATGTGCAGGCTTCCATGATGGATTGTGACGAAGTGTATAATTGGATGGAGTTGCTACGTAACCGATCTGGTTTGGATATTTTGCCAATATACAAAAAATGGTCTACAAAATTCCCTTCAATCCAAGGAATGTGGCATCTCTTTTATCACGATCAGACAAACGACACACGGCTGCTTACTCCTGAAGAAATTGTCCAAAAGCTTGACGAACTGTCTCAGCCTCCCATTAAAGAGGTCACTGCGGAGGATCGGCTTATTGAACTGTCTAAAAAGCAGCAACAAAGAATTGATGCATAATGACGTTGTTACTATGCAGTGACTGCTTTCTACTATGATTGTGTACAACATCACATACCTCGGTACTCATCCTATAAGTCACTGCAGGTTTATTGACACTGTATATGGGTTTTACGGCTGTTTTTTGACCTACATTTGGTTGCTGGAAGTTCCATTTAATCTTATCTCTGCAACAAACGCGTTTCCTTGATCATCACGAGTGCCGCTTGCCTGTCTGAGGTTGTTGCATTCACTGTTTTCGTTGAATTGATTTTTCATGAGATTTCACATGTGAACGCTATTGAGTTGGCTTTGTGATCAACCGGTGAGCGAATTGTTCAAGCGTCCGGCTAGTAGTCCACACATCACAGATTTGATCCTGCGTGGGCGACCGCATGACCCCAGTGGTTGTGTGGTAGCCAAGCGTCAGTACAAGGCGCCGAGGTGTAATTCCAGTGCGCCCACTGTATTCACATTTAATGGCAAATAGGAGGAATTGGAATGCAATATCCACGACATGTCGACAACGTTAACACCAGTGCCTGCGAGTCGCATAACTGATCTTCCTTGAAAAGTAAAGCGATGTGTGTAGGTCAGCTTTTTCGTTGCTTCAGCAGCCAGAAATTTTGCTGCTGTTTGCGTTTGTCCGGCCGTTCATTACTAATGACAATTCATATCGTGATCTGGGGTACTCCTGAGCTTGTTGATACTGTCCAGAGGCCACGTGATTTTTTGGGCATGCTTTCATTACTAACGATCTTTGTACGGAAGCCGTGATGATTGCCTGTGTATCCTCAGACTGATCGTCTCGTGGGGAACTAACTGCGTAGGCCGTCATTGATTAAGTTGTCCAACATCGTACTGTGTCAGGGTGCTTTTTCCTCGCTTTCTCACATGAGCCTGCCACATAGTCCGATACAACTCGAAGCACTATGGTTAGATAAGTGGGACGAATGTCTGACAGTTTGTTCCGCCTATGCTTCTTTTTTGCTGTATTCTACAAATAATGCGGTTTGTCTGAAACTATCGTTGCTGAAGCACGAATACTAGTTACTAATAAAGCGTAATACCTGTGCTCGGGTTGACTGTTCAGCTCTAGATCTATTCTCCGAGTTGAACTATTTTATTGCCCGACGTTTTGTCACCAATCGAAGTGACTTCGTCAGTGCGCATTAGGCAAACTGAGTGTCTCGTCTACCCTTAACGGACAAGTAAGTGATTTTTGAAATTAACCACCTCGATTCACGTCACGTGCTCATTACAAGTTTGCCGTTCAATCGCCGCCATTTTTAGACTCATGTGGTAAATGACCCACCTTAAATTTTTTTTCGCAGTTGATGGTGGATTGGGTCTGTCAATGCGCAGGTTTATTGAATTCTCCATAGAGAACTATGCTTCGAGATATTTTCTTCCTTGTCATCCCCTGCGCTAGGACCTCTATTTTCTCCAAAGCAAACATGTGCCGTTCTTCGTCAACTGGTGTCGAGACCAGTGATGCTGAGTAATGGTTTCGATAGGCTCGCTTGTCTTCTTGTAACCTTGTAGATAATTTTCTTCCTGTTTGGCCCACATTGTGTTTATCACAATGTTTACACTGTTTCATGTTAACAACATTCCGATGTTTATGTGCTCTCGTTTTCCTTTTCGGTCTAGATAAAGTTCCTTTCAGACTAGCGGTTGGTATGTGAGCTAACAACAGTTGGTGGGGCCTGAAGAGTCGAGCAGTCATTTCCATACCTTCTTGATGTACGGTAAAGCGATCCGTTTCGTTGTTGGTTCAGATGTGGCATTTGTAGTCTTGCAGTTTATTTATCTTCGGATGAAATTTTGTGGATATCCGTTGCGGATGAAGGATGTAAACATACGGATTTCCGTTTCGTTTCCTCAATATTACACTGACTCTATCCTGCGAAACAGGGTTTGTATGTAGCTGCTTTTGGTTGGTTACTGTTGCAATCATGATTTGATCTGTGTGCATGTCTTTCCTGTGAACTGATATTCGTAGTTCCCTTTCCGCTGTTCTAGTAACCAGTACGTCCAAGGAAGAGTTTCTTTTCCATTTCTGACTTCATGGTGAAGTGAATGTCGTCTATTGCATCGTTCAGCGAGCCTTGTGCGTTTTGCAACTGGCTGCATTTGTGTACCACGAGCGTGTCGTTAACGTATTTGGCCCCTACTTACGGGTTCAAGACGGAGTAAATTTTCCCCTAACCTTTGCATGACAATCTCTGCAATATGTAGGTCTAGGGGACCGCATAGGGTCTCCTTTCACTTGTTCATAGAATGTTCCATAAAAGTTTAAGTGCGTCGTGAGACACAGGTCGAAAAGCTCGCACACACTCAGTCGTCAGGTTCCAAATTATTCCTCCGCCAACATTCAGGCGTTCTTTGATGTTTCTTTCGCCATTTGTAAGTTGACAGAAGTGAACAGTGCACTAACGTTGAAGGACACCATTGTTTCTTCATGATCGATTCGCAGTCCTTTGCGCTTCTCTATATGTGGACCGCGTTCTTATTTGCGTTTTCACCTTTGCAGTCTGATTGTTAACACCCTCAACTGAACCCTTTACAATGAACAATGATTTATCACGGGATAAAAGCAAGTGCTTGACACGTCCCGTAGGATGGTAGCGGTGAATATGGTGCAATTAAAATATGTCTGGGTCATCTATCGAACGTCTGCCGAGATGAATACTTTGATAATTAACATCAGTGTAAAATGAAAAAGAAATATCGCGCGTAAACATTCAGAAAGACACTGGGGCGCAGTGATAGTTGAGGTAAGGAGTGAGAAAATGAAATATGGTCGCTCACTTAGGTCCATTTGATACATTAGTCCTGTTGAAAACATGCTTGGCGTAATCCACAACAGAGGAGCTTAGGTAACAAAATGTTGGGAGCTGAGAGCAACATCTAATCACCTTCTGAAAACATCCAAGGTAGGAGAGGATACAACTGAGTCTGGGAGTGCGTTCCATGGTTTGCAAACCCGAAGGGAAAAGTAATTCCGTCGACACTCTAGACGGCTATATTGTTCCTTCAACTTTAAGCAGTTACCCCTGAGCTGCGTGTTGTGGCTAAGCTTCAGCAAATGGCGGCATACGTGGTTGGGGTCACTCAATATCTGATACGCTAATATGAGATCGCCGCGCAGCCTATATGAGATCGCCGCGCTGTCCCACTCTCAAGTCGACGAACCACATATTCCGAGTCTATTCTCTTTTGTGTTAGCTTACAGGGGACTCTGCCCGTCCGGATCAGCGATCTGCTCATCATCGAAATTAAACAGTTTGGTATCAGCTACTATCATATATAGGCCTATGACTCAGCTTCGGCGTTCGCGCAGTGTCTCACATTTATGGGACCCCATTGAGTCCGTTAGGATGAGGCGAAGATACCAGGTCTTCTAATCATATTTTGCATAAGATATGCTGCCACCCGTCTCCTTCCGTTGTTTCCGTGTCAAAAGTACTCATCAACTCGCGACTTTCGTCTCACTTATTCTGGGCTCCACTGTGAATCATAGATAAGAGAGGAACATATCGGCAGTGTACCAGAAGTCCACAGTGATACCTCACTGTCACACTCGAACCCAGAGGATAGCGAATGAGACTTAACATGTGAATGCATTCATTTGAGATTGCATACCATATTTGCTATGGCTGATGCTGATGTAGTTTTCTACCTGCGTCAGTTACTGGTTCGCAATAACGACCTATTGATGTTCTCAAAACAGCTTTAGAATGTTGTCGCTCTGTGTAATTTATGCAATTTAGGATCAAAAAGGCGAACACAAGACATTACCGATGAATATTCACTGTTGATTGCCCCGCTCTATGAAACATCACAATTTCAAAGATAACTTGGTGAGCTCGCACTGATCTCAAGCAAGGATTACTCAGTGCATTTCAACCCACACGCGGCAGGCCGCTTGCATCTTGCTTTGAGCTGTATGATAAATTTGCGGTATCAATACCACAGTTTGTCGCTTTTATTCTGTTTCTTTATCGCATTCTAGCATATTCAGATTATGCTCTTATAAGATGGATAGATAAGGTGTAAACGATGAACGTACGCACACAATACATGATCGAACACTGCGATTCGCTAGGCTTAACAGTTTGACCTGGCAGACCACGTACCACTTCCTATGGAATTCAGTGACATCTGGGGAATTCGACACACCGTTCAGCGACGCTTGACTGTCCTGCATTGTCGACATAACTTCACTGCGTTTGCCACTCATCTTGAAGAAATTTCCCCATTGTGAGTATCACAGATTCGCAATGATTGAAACAACTTTTAATTTCAAGGCGAGCCTATTGTTGAAATTGCTGGCTCTATCATGAATCCGAGAGATGTTGTTACACTAGGCAGTTTTGTTACGGAAGCCGAACAAACATGGGCATGCATGATAACAGGATAGCGCCATTCGCGTACCTGTATTCGAACAATCTCCTGAGGATACACTGTTGTTTCTTATATTTGATTCTGTAACGGAATTAGAAGGGAGCTGGGATAACTGATCCATGTTTGCTTGTTACTCGTCAAAAGTTATCATATTCATCGACCTCTATCTTTACTATAAACCATCCCTGCCGCGACACTCACGTGTTTGGATAATGAAGCACCCAGTTAATTCGATTGTCCTTTATAACGCAACCCATCTATGTTGGAGACACCTTTCGGGTTATGCCGATGGCGTCATCGGGGCTGGTGCTGACTGCTAAACTGGACAGCTTGAATGGCAACAAAATCTCGTTCATTAAATACTATCATATACAAATCACTGGGTCTAGCTGTCCTTCAGACCGCAACTATCAATCTCCAGCATGTCTCTTGCCGATGGATACTGATTAGGCAAACCCAGTGGTGAATGATAAGCTGCTTGCTCGCCAAGTCTTTCGTTTATTATGTTCAACGAGATTGCGTCATCATATTCAGGTGAAATTGTCCTGTTGATGTCACCTATCGAACTGCCCATCTAGCATTCGAAGTATTCCGTGACCTCATCATCAACAGCAGTACATCAGCCATTTGAACTGATGCTTCGCTGCCATACAACCATGGTGACCTATTAAATAAAAAAATAATAAGAGAGAGAAAAGGGGGACTTACCTGAAAACCTTAATGCCCTAAACAAACATTCATGGTCAAGGCACCTACACCTTGTGTTAACAACATACCGTCACAAACAGCTGGCTATCGTGCAAAG